TGTTGGTGATTCAGTGGCCCTCAAGTCCAGACACCTACGCAGCGTGGTGGACTATCCCCCAGCTAAACTCACCAAGCTGGGATGGATCAACATATGCCTCGATATATCGAGGGGACTTCACGCTTTGCATCAAGCTGGATGGTCACATAATGACCTTCACACTCGCAACATCATGGTATGGCGAGACCCAAGCAACAAGTCGGACGGAAACTGGGGTGCCAAGATAATTGACTTGGGGATGGCTACGAGGATAGACAACCCACCTCCTCCCTTCCAGTACAGCATTGAGGAAAAGGCAAACTGTTACAGGAACTGTATGCAACTAGCTCCAGAGCTGATTGAGGGCACCTGTCAGTACGGAGTCCAAACGGACGTCTACAGTTTGGGTTACGTATTCAGCGTCGTCTCCTTCCAAAAGCCAGAACTGGGGGTGGTCGACTCCATTTATTGTCAGTGTCGTCGAGTGCCGAAGGATCGGCCAACGATGGAATCAATTGTCCATGATTTGGAGAGACTCCGCTGTGATGTAGTGAAAGAGGCTATGGCAGATATCCGAAAAAGGCTGAATAGGTTATCGAAGTTGGCCCAGGCAGCAAAATGTCGTAATTGATAAAATGTAAGGCTGCAAACCCTAAAGCAATAATCAAAATAGAATAAGGAATCAGTATTACTTCCAAAACTTGCAAAAAGCATTGAATAAATAAAAGTTAGGGCCTAATTAAAAATACCCTGATCTATTCATACAATAGCACTGTTATAATCATGGCAAGAATGTTAATAATGTGGAAAATGTGTTCTAGAAACGGATATTCATATCGAAGCTGGTATCTGCAAGGTGCAGAGTAAGTTCTTCTTGATTAGGCTACTGTTTTCATCGTCCCAAAACCTATGACGTTATTGGAGATATCGTGTTATGAACGAAATTCTGACTTCCTGCTGTACCTTTCCCTTTGTCTCTCAACCGACACAGCAGTTTTTATAAGCTGTTTTACGATGTCGTCCTAAAATTCGTAGATATTTAAAATTATTCCGAAGTTTTACTTCTAACGCCAAGTTATGGTCAGATACAAACAGCTACTTGAATTTAACAATTTCAATTATTCGAGTTTTTAAGAAAACAAAAAAAAATGAGTTAGGAGGTATTTAAATGGGCCTGGATTTAAAAAAAATGATTACAACTCTACATCTGTATTTAAACCGAGTTTTTAGATTTTTTGCATGTAGTGTACAAAATAATCCCGGTAGAGAAATCTATAATCTGTAAACTTTAATCAATATTGATGGTAAATGTACAAGTTCCAAGACAGTGTAAAAAATAAAGGCAAATATCGAATATTTGGAGAGCAAACATTTTAGTGCAATCTCATACAAGAATTGGTCTGTGTCATAATGAGCGCTATCACTTTTTATCACGCAGAAGGTATCAGGGCTGATCCAGGAACTTCTCCAGGGGGGTGGGGACTTCAGGCTGGAAATTATCTTTGTCTCTTTTTGCGGATAAGCGTAAACAATGATGAAACATACATGACCTACATTGTTTACAGACGTATTGGTGCACATTAGCTTTTACTGTTAAAATCATTTCCCCCCTTCCCCCTCTCTTTTTTTGTCTCAGAGCAGGGGTTCGACCCCCCGTATCCTGGTAACAAAACAGGGGCAAAAGGGGGTAATCAAATAACATGCAAAAATACTGAATGTTATTGGCCGCTATGTATTGCGTTACTGGTGGGTAGGGCTATCCTTCAGTATATTATCGGCGTATAATATAAGTGGCACCTTTAAAGTTTCTGTTTTCCATGCTTGCGCCGCGGCATCGTTGTCTTTTATCATACTTTGATTTGTATTGATTGCTTGCCCCGGTGGGGGCGCTAAACAGCTCTGATGGATGGCCAGCTCGTTGACATGTGGACCCTGCAAAGCTGAAATGGCGCACTCAAGTTTAAATCAATACCTGCAGCAGGTTTGGCCTTTTGATAACTGTTTGCTTTGCCACATTTTTGTATGGAGGTTTAGAATAACTCCTCATGAAACGAAATTAACGTCAAATTGCGTTTGTTAGTGGCAAGTAAATAGGCCTATTGAGTTACAGTGTAGATGGGAACGAGATTTACCAGTTTCCGGACATACATGTAGACTAACATTATCATTGCTCGGCAAGACATGTAGCCTACATGTATGTATGTAGGCCTACTTGTGCATTCCCAGTCCTAAACCCAAATTTGGAACAGGGAGGGGACTTTGCAGAAAAGGTTTCTTGAAAGAGTTCCACATATACGGACATTACCTGATCACTTCATTGGCACCATGTGCACTGCAATTTTAAGTCTGTAGCCTAGCTTAGCTAGGCCTTCATGTAAGTGTTTTCGGCGACGACATGTTCGAAGTAAATGATTCAACATTTTCACTGCTAAATTTGACTTCTTGGGGCATGTTATCACTTTCTGCAATTCTGGTAGGCCTAGCTTATTAATAAACCGCTGCAAGGGAAAAAAGTGATTGGATCTCTATTATTCTTACCATTTATCAAACCATACATCATACATGTATCTTGGGTTACCCCCGTGGGGTCCGACGTATGTCTGCTCCACTCCCATGCGGAGCGGACGTCTGACCCCACAGATCTTGGGGTAATCTTGGGTGTCTGTCATGAATAACAATTTAAAATTTCAAACACAGAAACTGTTACATTTGTGAAAAGTTCACTTGAGTAGTGATGTATGAGAAATATGGGGCTGATATGGGGCTGTTTCATAAAGTCCCCACTAGCATTGAGCTAGGGGATTGAGGTAGTCCAGTAGACTCCCCCTAGTATTGGGCTGTGACCACAATGATTGCTTACATGTAGGGTTTAGTCCCCAAACTTGCCAGAAGTTAACCTGGTGCTGTGTTCTGGGATGTCACCTATGTTAACATACTCCAGACCTTGTGAACAGTCCCAGAAATGTGACCCGCGAAAAAGGAAAGCATGCTTTCCATCAGACTAGGCATGCTAGGAGTAGGCAGGTTCGTGCACATGTAATCGTACATGTTGGCCCTATTCAAGGTTCTGTATGCACACTCGGGATAAAAGTTGATGGAAACATTTTCTGTGTGCACAGTGTGATCTGAGAGTAATGTGTGTGTACGACATTTTTGTGTGCTCTGAGTCGGCCCACGTGTATGGTGCGAATGCAGCCATCAGTTTTTGAATGTTCATCAGGGTCATTCCTGCATGTACATGTATGGTAACCTTGCAAATCAGAGATAGCTATTACTTAACACTTTCAGCATGTATGAACTGATAAATTCCTTTGCATATTGTGTTTAAACTAGTGTACATTTCTTTGCCCACAGCTTGAAAATGCCCTCAACAGGAGAGATGGCCCAACAGCAGCGGTAGGTTGAAATAGAAACAAATGCTTGCATTTGCACCGAGATCTCAATGACAGAATACAGTGTATTCAGATCTCTGTGAGGCATTCCTGGGGATTTGTACAAACAGAGGTACAAAATAAGGAACTTCAAGATCGGGGCAACCATCCTGAACCCAACAAGGTTATGCGGGATTTCAATGGTACCTAGGGGGTTAGGGTGAACCCTAGCTCCCTAGGGTGTGTGCAAAATCATATTAAAATTGGAGGATTCAGGACTGTTAGGGTTTAAAAGAAAGAAGTGTTGGGAGGGCTGATGGACTGAAAATGCTGTCCCCTGCCCGAGTCTCCAGCAGCAGAAATAATTCTATTACCTGCCACGGGTTTGATGTATGTGCACATGATGCCCAAGAAGTCTAGTGGTCACAACGTTTGTTGGACTTGATCTCTGTACACAGCCTGTTATTTTACTAATGTAGCAAATACAGGTATATATTGCTCTTTTCCAAGTGAATTTCAATGCATTTGTGGGATTTGGCTGTTTTTGAAAGTTGCCCCAAATATATGTATCTTGCTTATCAATTTTCCAGTTTTTGGCCATCAGTATAAATGAAATACTATAAGAAAACAAGTTCTGCATGATGTATAGAATAAGCTTTCAATTGTATTGTTTTCTATATTCCAAATAAGTCCAAAACATTGTTCCACCGTTCTGCCTTTTGGTTTGGCTGTATCGAATTATAAACCGTCAGATTATAATTTCAACTTTGCATGGTGTACATCATTGTCTACATTAAAGGGCCTCTTTTTGTTGCCTTTTTTCCCACATAAAAGGAACTGTTGTCTTTTAAGCATCCCCACATTGCCAACCCAAAGTTACAGCGACTGGAGAGTCCAGAGAGCCAGTGTGAGCAGTGGTTCGACCAGCCCTACGATGAGATGATTGCTGCACATTTGAAGTGAGTTACAAGGCTATTATTTGGAGACCCTAAGACTTCTTGTAATTTGTGACATCTTCATCTGTCAAAGTGAGGTACAAGAGTACCGACATGGGCGTCAGTCTCTTTTCAAAAGTGGGTGGGGGGCATACCTTCGATCAGAACATTTAGAACTCATGTTAGTGTAAAGGGCAAAGCTCTATTAAACAGCATGGGTTCCGGGGCCCACTTAACGCCTCAGGAAATTTGGATTCTAGATGCATTGTGGTGCGATCTTAGGCCATTTCTGACCCTTTTAACTAATTTTTTAGCAAATCCACTTTCAAGATTTATTTCATTTTCCAAATAATTTTTATATGAAATATAAATCAACTGTAGGGAAGAAAGTAGAGAAGAGATAAGTGATATGATACCCCCTACTTGTCCCCCACTGATTGACCCCCCATGGTCATCAAAAACAGAGTGCTTTGTGGCATTCCTGATGTGCACTGACCTTTAGTCTAACTGTTGGATTTGGCAGTGTGCTGGAAAAGTCTGTTGTTACAAAACACGAGAATATACTTTCCGTCTGCTTGGTGTAGCTACCTTCATGTAGTTTGACTGTTTCATTTGCCTGATGGTTGTGTTTCAGATGTATCCAGTGTGTTGCCAACCATGACTTCGTGGAAGCCTATGCCTACCAGTCCGTAGTTGTGCAGTATCCTTACACATGAGCGTGTATGGACTGGCCAGCATTATTCACGCATTTGGAAAACATCACTTGAAAGACTTACCATTTTCGATTGAAACCTTCTAAATCTTTTTTTTTCAAGTGTCTATATCTAATTCTGTGAATTTTAAAGGATCAGGAAACCGTCCTTAGGAAGAATTAGAAATAAGTTTGTATAAAATTATTCTTAGTTTATTTGCTCAAATGCAATCATTATTGGGAAAAAGAGAAGCTTAGGTTTCATTATGACAGTTTTCAGCAAATGCATGCATGATGAGTGCAGTTTTATCACAGTAGATACGTTAACTTTAACCTAATCGTCAGATCATTTAACAAAATATTCCAGAGCCACAAAGATGAGAACTGGTAAGCTATGAACATTTTGTTTCTTATGCTCATTTGTGCTCATAATTCACAGTTATCTTGAAGCTCAAGGGATTAGAATTACTGTTAGAATTAAATAATTTAATTTGGTTGATGACGACCAAAATTATATTTTTCCGTGAATGTTCTTCAAGTCATATGCAAACCGCAGCCTTAGCTTTGACCTGGCAATTTTGAATGTGCATCATTTGCAGGGCTCTACCGATCATGTATGGAGTCACTCTTGACCTGAGGTTATTTGCCAACAGCGTGAGTATGCTCAAAACTGTCGTTTTTTAGGGTTTTCTTTGCATGGAATAACAAAATTAGAGGCCTGTGTAATGAACAGGCCACACTTTGTTTACGTGTGCACTTTCTATGGAGTCAGTGGAGGCTCGCGGTCATGAACTCCATGGGAAAGATGTGGCATCGTCGGTACACAGGCCTGTTGACGATGTCAATGTGCATGTGGGGCAGTCAGTTGATGTTTCAGTCAGCACATCCTCAGAGATCCTTGAACAGCCTCTTTGGTGATGACAGGGTAGGTTAATGAGGGCATTACAAACTCAAAGCTGTTGCACACCAGGCAATAGGGGTCCACCTGGGAGGGGAAGAGCGCAGTGTCAGTGAGCGGAAGGCCTCAGACACTGCAGTGTCAGAACAGGTGTTCTGTTTCCAGTGGGACCAGTGGAGGCAGGCTACATACACTGTGCCTTTGGGTTTTGCCAGATAATCCTTAACCAAAATGTACGTGCTGTAGAATTACTTAAATGGCATAAGTGCCTGTCCTGGATGATGTGCATCAGCAGAAATGTAAACATGCAGCGTGAAGTTCTGCCTAAACCATTGCTAGTGCTTGCTACCACATTAAGCATGTGGAAGATAGAGAGCATGATTACTATACATGTAAGCGATGCTGTTTAAATCATGCCAAAATCTCACAGTGCTGTTGTAATGGGCAGCAAATAACCAGCATCAAGGATGTAGGATGACAGAAGAACCATGTTGTAATAGTTTGTGGCCTTCTCTGTATCTACTACATCAAGTGCCTTGGAATGGGTTGTAAGCTGTGTGGTCGGTCTGATTGTTGTTCCCTTCAGGCCGATGCGCAACTTGCCAAGAGAGGCAAGGGCAAACCGGGGGAGAAACTGGAGAAAGCAGCCGACACCCTGATGGGGTGCTTCAGAATATGCGCAGCCGACAGGTAAATAAACAGATCTGTAAAGCAGATGGGGGCGTTCACTATGGAAAAGTTTCAGCTAGTGTTTGCCTTCCAGAGACTCTTTTAAGTTTCACGGTTGATAATCCACACCTGTGATTTCTGCCATCAATCACATCATCCTTATGCATTTTATGCAGTACAAGATTAAGAATCTGGTTTTCAGCCCTTGTTGTTTAAATTCATTACTTTTTACGGAAACAATTCAGATATTATGTGGATCTGAGAATGCAGGCTTTGGATCTTGGACGTGATGAGTAGGCATTGGAGTATTTGGAAAAAGAGGAAGCTATAAAAGTATTAAAAGGGTCCAAGACTGTTCCCAAGGTGCATGTGTCATCCAGTCTGTCAACAAATTAAGCCTTGGTGCTTTGGCTCAAAAGTAAATCTCTTTGTATTCTGTCTTTTAGTCGAGCAGCAGTTGAAGACTCTAAAAAGTGGGGGATGCTCTACCTGGTGAATCAACTCTTCAAAATTTACTTCAAGGTATAACGGTAATCTATACATTTGGGTGTGCTAGGTGATGTTGCACCCTGGTATCTTATACCCTTGGGAATATCATGGTTAAAATGAACTGCGGATCAAAACAGTAGAACCTTGATGGCCATGTATGCATATTGCTACAAGAGATACAAATAAAAACCATGGGATGAAATGAATATTTCAGGGATTTTTTATTTTGGCTTGTAAAACAAAGGCAAACACCTCGCCCTCAAATCCAAACATTGCTTATTTCATCAGAAATAATATAACCTCTTGGAATTTGCACTCATTTCAAGTGGGATGCGTGAAAACCTGGCTGTTCCCAAATCGGAACTTTTGCCTGTGGAAGTACCAGTGACATTAGGAAACGTTGGAAACGCTGTTTTTTCAGTTCATAATGTATGATGTTCTTTCCAAAAAGAACAGGAATGTTCAAAGTTTGGAAATGCTTTCAATGTCATCGTTGATAAAAGAACTTGAAATAGAAGATCATAATCTGGCATACATGTACCAGTGGCCGCGGTAAGCAATTGCTTTGAAAAGGTCACCTTCCACTTCAGTCTTAAGTTCCATATCCATCAGTCTTCTAAAGTTAACCACTTCGCGCTGGGTTCAATTAAAATGGCCTTGCAGAAATACGGGCATTTTTCATGAATTTTACATTTCAAAATTCTTCAGAAATTTAATACTTCATTTACTGGACGTTTACACCCACTCAAATGACTGTCTGGTGGCTACTCTAATTTGAGAGGCAACATCTATTGGCGCCCATATATTTCAGCTAGGTCTGCTGCCTAAAGAGAGCCCCGATTGTGCGGTGTTGTGTAATTTTCTGTTGTTCTCGAAACTAGAGCAGTTTGCTACTGGTGTCTTTTTCAATGGGGCCATTTTAGCGTGCAGCAGTATTGTGTTGCTCAGCACTTCAGCGCTGGAGAGCTTTCGTCCGTGGTTGTAATCCTTCAAATTGGATGCCACAAATAGTGGCATAGTGTGTCAAAAAAAGGACAGATTACCTCCGCTATTGACAACTAAAAAAATGTTCTTCAAGTCCCAGCAGCTTGGTCTTTTGTTCAGAGTGCGGTCTTTTGTTACTAGACCTGGCTCCTTTGTCTGATTTCAGGCTCCCAAACATAAGGTACCGGATACCAGGTCCCCTGGCAGGAAGTGGTTGACAAGTATGGTTTCTTCAACATTTACGTTCAGTGCCTTCCGTGCCCAGATGCACTGAAAAACCTCATGGGTGCGTTAGAGCAAGCAACTCATGTTAACACGAGTATGCTCCTGAGTACTCGAACGGCTGAAGTACGACCCGAAGGTTAGCGAGAGCATACTGTCGCTAGAGGGGGAGTATACTCCTGTACACAAGTATAATGCACACGCATCCTACTCGTGTTAACAGGAGTAACGGCACGAACGCACCCTATAAGTGAAGACCATTGTTATTCTCAGACAAGAAATGCCTACTTGAATCATCAGTATTAAAGAATTTGATAAACACTGTTGAATGCATTCTCGTTGGTGCCAACTCGTAAACCTTGTAATGCACAAGTTACGAAAAAAACCCCAAACAAGTTGTGCCCTTGGCACGCTAGCTACAGGTCATTACTTAATACTTCACCAGGTGGCCATAGGGCAGACAGAAAGGAATGAATTTCTGAGTAAAACGAGAGTTGGTACCCACCTGTTACTTTTTCCCTCTCTATTAAATAACCAGACCAACAATCTTCAGCTTTGTAAGCCGCTGATCCGAGCCATCGACAGCTCCAGTCTCAAGGACCAGTTCAGCATCTCCCAGCGGGTCACGTACAGGTACTACGTAGGCAGGAAAGCCATGTTTGACAGTGACTTCAAGAGCGGTGAGTTCACGGAAGCATGGGGTTGTTTGTATAGTTGATACGGTATCTGATAACCACCGTGGCTGGCTTTGCGTACGCGTACATGTGCAGGCTTAAATGTTAAACCTCTCTGTGTGAGAGTTACTTGAAACCGACCCACTGTGATGTTCTTTACGCTAATACACGTATGTATCGATACTGACATTGGTGTACAGTTGTGTACTATTTCGATTTTGTGGTGTTGGGTGCAAATTATCTGAATGAAAGTCAACTTTGAGTGAATTGTTGAACAGTGTTCATCAACGCCATTGAGCTTCCTTCTTGCTTCCTTCTTATTTCATGTGCAGCTGAAGACTTCTTAACCTTTGCATTCCAGCGATGCCATGGAGCGAGCAGACAAAACAAAAGGCTCATCCTGATCTACCTCCTTCCCGTCAAAATGCTTCTGGTAAGCACCAAAGCTAGCTCTACCCCTGACCTTAATCTTGGATCCATTTGCAAAGCATCAATTTCATTTCTTTAAATCACCCTGATGCCAGCTCCATTTTAAAAATGTTATGCCAAAATAAATGCATTTCTCACTTTGTTGATATTGCTTTGATTTTGATGAAAAACGGACCAGAATATGTAAAGTTTAATAGTCAACCTTTAATTGCTGTTGAGCCGTGAACTGCCTCTTAATTACAAAGACCTTGATGTACAAAAACTGCCTGCATACTTCTTTGCACGAGGCATATTAAAGTAACATTTGTTGACATTTGCATTTCAAATACACAAATTGCCTCCTACTATATTTGTGATACCACATTTGCTTCTGGAGTAGTTAAGAATTACGGGCTCATTTAAGTCTTTGTGAAATTTGCACAAAGAAAGCCTTACTGCAAGAAATAGCAAGGCTGTAGTGCCCAGCTACAGCCATTTGCTAAAGTTTAAGTCCACCTGGAATTTTATTGGGATTTCTGTCAATGGGACTGCATTACATTGCCTCATTGAATGATTACCTAATATGTTTTCACAGAGGTGCATAACATCCGTGTAGTTCTATATACCCATTTGAATGAGATTCTTTGCAAAGGCAAGTCTTGTATGGCATTTTGTCGGTATGAAAGCATGGGTGTTCAGAAATAAACGAGGGCACACTAAATATTAGACTGTTATCATTTCAAATCATGGAAATATAGTCGAATAGCTGTTTAACCAAGATACTGAGATTACACATTGAAAAAAACATAAGTTGCCATGATTGCTAGGTTTAAGTTTGGTTTTTCTTCAGGTTAATGCATTTTGTATAGGTGGTCCTAAACTTGTGCACATGACCTGTATGGCAGTGGGTCCTTCAAACTGCTCCTGCTCTATGTTAACACAGAGGCAGTGCATTTCATTTCACCAAGGGTCAGAGAACAGGCCATATGCCATTTCTTGTCGCACCCATCACAGGGTCAAATGCCAAAGATCGAGCTCCTTCAAAAGTACGACCTAATGCAGTTTGCGGATGTGGCCCGGGCCGTTATCCAGGGCGACCTGAAACTCCTCAACAGTGCCATCGAGACTCACGAAGCGTTCTTCGCCAAGTGTGGTGTCTACCTCATTGTCGACAAGCTGAAAATCATCACCTACCGCAACCTGTTCAAGAAAGTGTGAGTTAGCCCTTTAGTTTCATAGTGCTGTCATTTTCATGTTTCATACACCTGCAACTACCCATCAAAATAAAGTCATCTACAGTGTAGAGCTCTAGTACTCGTAAGTACCCAATGACCTGTACTCAACCGCATTGAGGTGTTTGTAGTGCCTTACAAACAGAGCCTCCACACTTTTGAAATCCCCTTAGTATAAAGTATTTAACAATTGTTGGCTGCTGTCATGTGAGATGCTGTGCTTTGTAAACTAGACAGAGAGTTGTGCCAGCTCGTCAAAAAGGTTGACATGTCTTACTCTGCCAAAATATAATTTGCTCCGTGATAGGGCAGTGGACCCTATATACACATCCACCAACACCTGTGGTGGACCTGCTTCTGAAGGTTACATAACATGTAGAAATACGTACATGTATGTAGTTTTTATGGTCTTTGTTTATGAGGTGGCCATTTTGGATCATGTTCCCCATATCCACTCTATTTATCCAACACTCTGAAATGGTATGGAGGCTGATTACTTTTCACTTTGAAAAATAATTTTCCCTCGGACAATAAAAGTGACGTGACTTTAATATTTATCTGTAATTTGGGACTGTCAGAGCGTGTCTTTGTTCCCACACATATCTATTGTTTAGAAAATGTTTATAAGGATCGCTGTGCTCTCGATTCAAGGTGACTGACTCAAGAATAAGGCCATGACTCAAGTTGCGGGTTGAACAAAGTGCCAATGAAGAAAGCAGCATTATGAACACTGCTAGCCCTTACAGTTCTCAATCAACCAACTTTTATGTGATCGTTCACTCAACCTAATAAAACTGGACGTTTCTGGTTAAATGATGTACACATCTTTGCCCGCTGTAGATACATGCTCACTAAGTCATTCCAGCTCAGCATCGACAGGTTTGTCGTGGTGCTGACCTACCTAGAAATTGAAGATGTAGACTCCGCCGAAGTGGAGTGCATTCTGGCTAATCTTATCTACCAGGTGAGTCAAAGAAAGAACACAGGGTTTTAAGTTGGCATAGAAGAGATAATAACATATTGGCATGTGACTTTCAGGAATGCATGATTGCACAAGAAGTAATAGTTATCGGTACATGGAGTTGCTTTATAGGGCTGTACCGAATATTCAAATATTCGATTTAATCGTGAATATTTGATTATTTTTATGCAACAACAAAAAAAGTCCAGGTTGTTGTTGCATAATTATTATTTTCGAATTTGAATATTTGAATGCAAATTCATGAAAAAAGAAGGGAGAATTTTCTTTTTTAAATGAGAAAATCTTGCAATGGAGGCTTGATTGAAGCAGATTCCAGACCCTTGAAGGCACCTGATTTGCCCAAAAGTTCAACATAGAATCCATCCTGGAATATGGAAATAGCATTTTAACAAAAAAATGAATGCACCAAGATAATAGTCTTTGTAATAATGATGTATTGATGCAAACTTTGTTGAAATAAATACATGTGTGACGAAACCTTCATGAGAGTATTTTAACTCGAAATAGAAGTGAGAAGGTATTATAGTTATTATAATGTGACTTTGTGGGCATTATTGCTACTGATTTTGTATATGGTTTGTTCATCAACGATCTGCCGACTGGTGACTTTTTTTGGCTGCTTGTTGCTATAATTTACCCAACGTTTTGCTGTTTGCTTCTGAAACCGTGCATGAAAAAGGAATGATCTGAGAAAAATAAAAATGCCTCTATATTGCTTTGATCACTTAAACTTTCATCGTAAAAGTGATTGCTTTGGATTTATATTTCTGAAATGTAATGAATTTTTGTTTGGGGAATCAACGAGTATTTGAAATCTTTGTGTGTATTTGTGATGTTTTCTGCTTACAGGGTTACATCAAGGGTTATATCTCCCATCAGCACCAGAAGTTGGTTGTGAGTAAACAGAACCCCTTCCCTCCGCTGGCCTCCTTCCTTTGCTGATGATTGAGACCCTGGGATGGAGGAGAGGCTCACCACACCCTCTCGGGGTTGCCATGGTTACCTCAAGGGTAGCATTTTTGTCAGTGGCAGCACCTGTTTGGCAGTAAGCAAATGCCTTCTCTTGGCTTGGCTCATTTCTCTGCCGATGAGGTGGAAGGAAAGCAGCACTCGCCGTTCATTGCCAGGGATCTGCTAAGGCCTACAAAGACAATCAGCGCTATGGACTTGCGTGTACCCTCTTGTCTTGACCAATACTTAGGTACACGTAGTTGGTTACAGATATGGAATGTACACGTAGTTGGTTACGGATATGGAAATTAAAAAAAATTAACGGGTGACTACAACCCTTTTGAATTGAATTCAGTTGAATGTGTGTGAGAGTGATGGAACAAAAAAGACCATAGGCATGTCCATCCGTACCAGTTCAACAGCATGTTGTGTGGAATATCTGACACACGTTATGGATGATCCACTGACCTGGTCTAGGTCTCAGTGCCTGGCAGAGGACTGTGCTTATGCATGGAGATCATTGCCTCTGTGTATTCAGTGACCACACTAAGACCCCAAGAAACTTACTTGGACCTACTTTGTGCTATATATTGCTGTTACAGTACATGAACAAGAGTGCCTACGCAAGTGTTCCATCATAAGGGAGGTTATTGTTGGGTGACAGCTGTAGCCTGGTTCAGTTGCGTATTGTGCCCGTAAAATTAGCCTAAAAGGTGTTTTCGTTTGATAGCTAAAACAGCCTGAAACCTTTGTCAGACTTACCAGAAACTATGTGGTTGTTATTTTCACACTCTCAAATGTCTTTTAACCATGGCTCTCTTCCAAACGAACATTTAAGATCTGTTGCCATGCGATGTTTTGAAACAAAGATGCAGGGAACCACTTCACTGCACACTCTGCCCCTTGTTTGGTCACATTGCCCCCTGCACATACCTACATACATGTACATACATACTGTACATGCACTCCTAGACGTTAATGGCTGGACAACACTTGACTTACAACTTCAACTGCCTTTCAGTTGAAGCGGTTGCTTATTTTTGTCTTTGTGCTGCGAAAAAAATCTTTGGTCTTGATGTGTGGGTTCACAAATAACATCCATCACATCTTTCTTTTTGAATCCTTTAAATTTCCTTTTCCCGTTCGGAAGACAGTATAGAAAGAATCGAAAAGGCATCACATCATTGTCCTCTGCTTGAAACACCTTGGAGTATGTATAGTTGAATATTAAGAGACGTTAATTTGTATAATTGCTTGTCATGCCTTGGATTATTTTCAGTTTTTGTTAGTGTTGTCTTTTGTAATTTTTTTTTGGGGGGGGGGTTGGGATGGGGAGGAGGTTGTTTTGTGTTTTATCTCATTTTTTCCCCCCACCAATAGTGTGTAGTGGTTAACATCAAGTCATCGGAGGTACATGTAGGGGGCTAACACCTTCTGTAGCCTTCCTCTCTGAATTTTGTAAACTAGATTGCACATGTAGAGCTATTGGAGGGAGAGAGATCTTGCTTTTTCATCAAGCACAGCAAGTTGTTCCCTTTTTATGAATTACTAACATCGAGTGAATGCTTTGGCAATTTACATGTACGGTAGGTCCAAATTTGGGATCTTCCTTTGTCTCAGCTCTCTTGCTGACAATCGGAGGCTGACAGTACTTGCACTTTCCTTTTGGATACTGTGGTAAAAGACATGTACATGCACATGTGAAACTAATTGACCAATCATACACACAACACATGGATTCCAACTTGCGAAGTCCACTTTGCATAACATTTAATGCTGAACTGTTGGCATATATTCCTTATACATTACCTTGACACGTACACAACTTTTAAAGGCAACACTGCCCTAGAAAAGGTTAAGGTGCTCCACTTTAATGCATGAAAAACAACGTTGCCAAAAGGTTACACAATTTGCATAAATCTGCAAAAACCTCGTAACAAATATCTGGCATGCTACATGTATATAGCGGTGGATAATAAAATGAGTATTTCTGTCTGTAAAAAATCATCTTGTAAAAAAATCACAAAATAGGGATCTATTTCTCCTATCTCAGTGATTCTGCCTAATATGGGTATTTCTGTAAGCTGGATCTTTAAATACATATACCATGTAGCACACTTCCACCCAAAAAACCCCAGTGCATACCGATTTACTATATTTACAACCGAGGTTCTTCCTACATAAACATGTACTTTCCACACAGCACTATCAGCACATTCATCCCTCAAAGTAAAAATTGTGCCTCTGTGGCCTCTGCAAAAGAAATGTTCACATGCCGCAAAGATGCCTCCTCCCATGTGATACATGTAATTTCACATGGTCTCTACTGAACAATTTGTCATTTTTACTGATTTAAAATTTGACTTTTCTGTTTTGTCTAAAAGCATGCAAAAGCCATGAATGTGGTAAAAAATCCACAAAATGTTCTCCCCCCGACCTTCTTGGCCTTACCAGTGACATGCTTTGCCATATGAGACATACTATACAATGTACTCTATTAGAGCCGGGGGCTACTTTCTGTTTTGAGGAATTACAGTGATAAATTCACAGGGCATAATCATATAATCGTTAACTATGCACACTTTTCTTTAGGCCCAAAACTCTTCTACTTGGCACACCCCCCCATGTTTGGTTTTTCCCTCCTCCCCCAAGGAAGTGCTTTGCATCCCTCAATAAATACGATGTACACATACACTAACATTGCCACTTCAGATGTACGCTTGTTTCAAGACACTTTGCAGGATGGCGTTTTCGGTGAAGTCATACTGCCATTTACCCTAGGCATTCATATCCATGAGAAAATCTTGAATGGGAGGCCAGTTGGCAGGTAAGTTTCATCTTTTCAAAATAGCAGTCGTCATCTAATTGTAAAAGTTTATCCCAATAAAATAAAACTCTAACCATCATACTATCCCACATCATTCCTGACAGCAGTTTTGAAGCACACATGTATCTCATACTCAAACTACTTCACTAAATGAATTACATGTAAATATTAACCCTATGAACAGTCCTCAATCCTCTGATTTAAATATAATTTGTACATGCATATACATGTACTGCAACAGTCCTGAAACAAGAAGACTAGAGCCTACAGCATGCACATGTATGCTCATCCAAAGGTACTGGTATATTTTGTGTGAAGACTATTTTAGCCGAGTTCAATTAGGAGTAAACCTTTCTGCATTTGGCTTTAAATCCAACCGGGACAATTATCTTATTTCCAAGCACAGCCTGGGCCAAGGTCAAAACTGTCTGGCCCAGTAAATTTTTGAAATTGAAATCTGTACATGTAGGTGCTATTTGAGGCCGTATTTCCTCTGTACCCAATCTATTGGGGAAAAAAGTGAGGATTTGTTCACAAGGGTTCAAGGTTTATGAAAAAATGAGGGCTTGTAAAATTTGAACACGCAAAAAAACGGCTTGTCCAAATTTGTTTTGCTGTTGCTAAGGACAGGTGGGTAGATAAGACACTGCACCTCACATCTCTGAAATTTCTTCTACAAAACTGCCTAAATTTAATGCATCCTGCAGAAAGAGCTTGCTTCACTCTAGAGATCACATAGCAAGTGAAGCTGCTAGCCTACTGTGGGTAGTGCCTGTCATAACCCTTGGATTGGATTTACTGTACATGTACACACATCAACATTGTGCACCTCGGGTGGATACTCATCTGCTTTCGCACACAGTTCATTTTCCTTACAGTGTGAATACTCCACTGAGATTTTTGATGATTCTCTTGGCTGTTCCTCTTCATTTTGTGATGGATAATCATTACCCCACAAAGCCCCCCAAAACTGTTCCTTTTAGAAGGGGGAAAAATGTGTGGACCCCAGCAAGTCTAGTGTCTTCACAACCTGCACTGCAAACAAGAAATACCGTATCTAACCAATTTCATTGATTAGGGAATTTTTCATGCCAAAATCACTCACCATAGCCTCTTAAAACACCAAGGTCAAAACCTGCACTTGTGTTACTTTATTTTCTTATGCATCACATTAAGCACCACTACTACAGACGACCACTTTTCACCTTTCCTAACCATGCTACGTTATGATCTGTACAGATACACAAGTTCAACAATTTACAGTAGTTCTAATTATTTTTGCCTGAAGTTCCCTTTGCACCTACCTGTGTCCTTATATCAAGCTTTTAGACAGGTTGCAGAATGTCACCGTACTAACACTGCTTTACATTGCTACATACCTGGATGGCACCGTACATGCAAACAAACACATAGACAAATCCTACAAAGTGCACTCCAAAAACTGATTATCAATCACAGTGTAGTGTTGTTAATCTCATTCAGGTGCTGCTGGTGTTTAATATTCATTTATCAAGGCTCTATCGACCAACGTTCTGAAGCATGGGCTCTATAAGCAAATATACATTCATGTTACACTGCCATAGTACAATGACTCAAAAACGGACGAGTTGGAATGGTTCAGACTCAACGTCGAAATCTCAAACTCAATAGTGTCGGAACTTGCTCTTTGAACTTGCGTGCAAATGCACTTTGATGATGTTGACACTGGAGTAAGTAGTCGGCTACACGTACTGTACAACACTGCAGACACCTTCTCAAGTTGAACCATGAAAGTACCATCCACACTGCATACAACTTTGCATTGAGGGCAGCTGTGCAAAAAAGACATCCTTCCTGGACAAGGCATGCATCCCGTGGCTTGGATGTGAGAAGCAACTTGTACCAGTGCGTAACCGATTTGTGTTTGTAGCTGCATTACGGTACGTCTCAGCAAATTGCATGATCAGAGTTGTTGCGGCAAGAGGCAAATGCCAGTGGCGGCGAAACGGCAAAACAGGCTTGCCCAGTTCCTTGTGGGATGAAAATAATGTCATAATAACGACTGCTCAAACATGACCTTGTCAAAGCCAGCTGGTGGTGTGTGGTAGAACTCACTAAATTGCACATCGAGAATTGCACCCTCGTCAACTGTGGAGAGCAGTAAGGAAGAGCAGTAAGAAAAAAGAGAAAAACGGTTTAAAAAAATCAGGATGCATTAAAAGCCTGGACCTTGGGCTATACCTGGCAGGATATGGGATGGAGGGGTACCCCCTTACATGTCCAAACCCTGTAGACACTTAAGACTATTGTTACCTAACATATCCATCATAGGTATCTCAAAAGAATTCATGAGATTCTGGTTGAACAATGACCAATACAACGGGGGTGGGGAGGGAACGGCTCTCTCTGTCCTGCGCCTTGCTTCAAATGCCTTGGGCATGGTCCTTGATGACCCCCCACCCCAAGATCCACCCTTGGTCTAAATTGCTGTTGCACTTTAATAAGTGCCAACCACCTCACTTGTACAATCATGAACAATCAGAAAAAAACAAACTGAAGAGGCAGTAAAGGTAGGGTTGAAAGAATCGAGGGTGGAAGTAGAGAACTCTTGATGTAGACCTCAACCAAATGCAACCTCCCTAAGGTGCTGAAAAAAGAAGCGGCAAATTCTATAATTTTGAGTACTTCTTGGAGTGAGCTTACCATATGTTGCTGGGTAGACTGTCCCACGGATTCCTGTGATAGGCAAATTGAGGGGAGTACCGTTCTTGTAAAAGTTTAACTCGATGTGATCAAATGTGATCCCCTACAAAAAAAAACGACCATGCAGTCAAAACCACTTGAAATCTTATACAACTGAACTCGTTCTTGTCTTCAGAATAAGCTATGGCCGATCTGTTTCAAAGGATACTTTCGTATCAAGTAGCCTGCAGATAAGCTTCACTTACGCCTACATGTAAACAAGCACAGGCAGCAATAGGTGCACAAGGATTTTATGTTCATTCAACTGAAAATTAGAAACGAGCGAATCTCCAAAATACTCTACAAAATGACGTACGATGATATCACCCTCGGCAATTTCTGCCTCCAGCTTATTCAGACACTCCCCGTTGTGGTAAATGGTACCATCTGATCTCAGCATCCAGCTCTCTGCTTTGCTCCCCAGAGGCAGGATGTTCAGACTGCATTTTCGGGTAGCGACACCGAATCCCCAGTTTCCTGCAAATAGTGAGTTAACAACTTACAGTAAGGCCGCCCCTGAATTGCCTGGTTATGGCTTGCAATTACACATGAGTCTATGGTTGCGGCCGCAGCCAATTCCTGTAGAGTTGTGTAATTTCAAGCTGCAGCACAGTAATTCAGACATGGCCTAAGATCTTTTGAGGTGATATACGGAGGAGGAACCATTGGAGGTAAGCAGAAATTATGGTAGAGCCAAACAAACAAGCATAGAGACAGAGCTGAAAATCTATCAGAAATGATTCCACAACATATTCACTTTTGGCTGGTAAAGCGTTTTTTTTTTTTTTTGGTAAACCTTTCCCAGTCTCAGCAAGTTGGTGCTCAGAGGTAACAAACATGAGAAACTGACCAGTTTGATCAATGTACATGTACACTCATGACACTCGTGCACATGTTAATTTTGATTTCCTTTTTTAACTGTTAGCTTTCCTTTATCTGTAAAACAAATTGAACATCGGCTCAAAATATGCTTTGAACATTTACTGCAAATACATAAGACTTTGGCAAAAAAAGGAAAATTTCAGTCTTTACAAGACTGTACAGTGTTTTTTGATTTGCAATGCCAGGAGTGTGAAGTCAAAAATGAAATCAGCTGATCCGAGGAAATGTTGCAAACCTTGTGCAAGGAAGGCAAAACACCCAAACTCCATGGAATACAAGGTACCGGTATGGAATCCTCTGCCATTTCAAATGGTACTCATCAGATTGCTCCAATCTGCAGGTCAGAATACATTGTACTTTGTGAACTATTTATTTCTCCGTCTGTGCACACAAACCTGTTGACTGGAGTTTCATTTCAAAGTAAGCCTTGTCTTGGACTAGTGGGGCATTGCCGAGGGCTCCTCCTGTTCCACATATTCTTCGTCCTGATTTTACGATGACCACGTCGCTCCCTGCAAAATGAGAAGGAAGACATTTGCCAGAATTTATCTTGTGAAAATTACAAATTAAATTCACGAGCGGGAAATCTAAGCACGTAGTTGAATAAAGCACAGTGTAGATGCAAGTACTGAGTAATTAAAGAATGCATTCACTGATTTTTTTTATACATTTAATCAGAGATTTTGGCATATCCCACATCCTCAGAGACTGTTTACTAATTACAAGTCCTTTTCCACTGAAATTGTCCTATGTACATGTATCATGGGCACCCAAAATCTTTGCACTGAAAATCAGCACATGTATGGACATTGTGTACACGTTGTACATGCACATGTACACAGTAGCTATGCTGGTCGACACCAGTCAGGGATCTCCACCATAGCGTGCTACCGTCCAGCACTGAGCTTGATGAAACAGCCAATCGACCAGCACAAAAATCCTTAAAAATCCCCTCAAAAACATTAGTCACCATGAAAATTTCATAATTTTACCTGGAAGAATTAAAAAAAAAAATTGAACTCTTAATCAACTTGGAAAGAAAAATTCAATAAAAAAGTGATCTGGAGTCCCC